AGCACTTGTTCTTCATTGACTTTTTTTAAAAATGACAATCATTCTAACAGGTGTGAAATGATATCTTGTTGTGGTTTTAATTTGCATTTCCTTAATGATTTAGTGATGTTGAGCATCTTTTCATATGTCTGTTGGCTATCTATATGATCTCATTGAAAAAGTGTCTGTTAAGTCCTCTGCATATTATTTAGTTAGATTTTTAATTTTTTTGGAGTTAAGTTCCTTATGTATTTTGGATACTAACCCCCTGTCAAATGTATCATTTGTGAATATGTTCTCCCATTTACTAGATTGCCTTTTCCTCTTGGTGATGGTTTCCTTTGCTATGCAAAGCTTTTTAGTTTAATATAGTTTAATGTGTTTACTCTTTCTTTTGTTACCCTTGCCCAAGGAGATATGTCAGAAAAAAAGTATTACTAAGAGAAATGTCACAGAGTTTACTGCCTGTTTTCTTTCTTTAAAAAAAAAATTATTATTAATTATTATTATTGTTGTTGTTGTTGTTATTTTTTTACAGAGAGGAAAGGAGAGAGATAGAGAGTTAGAAACATCAACGAGAGAGAAACATTGATCAGCTGCCTCCTGCACACTCCCTACCAGGGATTTGCCCACAACCAAGGTATATGTCCTTAACCGGAATCAAACCTGGGATCCTTGAGTCCGCAGGCCAACTCTCTATCCATTGAGCCAAACTAGTTAGGGCACTGCTGTTTTCTTATAAGAGTTTTATGACTTCAAGTCTTAAATTTAAGTATTTAAATAACTTTTACTTTTTGTATACGGTGTTTTGTTTTGTTTTGTTGTATACAGTATTATTTTTGCATGTCTCTATAAGACTGTCATAACCCCCTTATGTATCTTTGCCTTCTTTGTCATAGGTTAATTAACCATATAAGCAAGGATGAAATCCAAGAATCTAAAAGTAGATGGAAAAGATCACTTGTTTCAGTTAGAAGAATCCAAATATTTTTGTCAAACAAAAAAAATCTACTTGGCACTTTTTAAATTTTTCCAGAAATGTAGTATGATTCTTATGAGTGTTAGCCAATGTTGTTCTGTGCCTTATGCAAAATACCACATTATTGAAATAACTGATTTGTCATGGCCTACTTTAACCATCTCATTTGACAAATTTGATCTTTGCTGAGGACAAGAGCCTTTGACACTATGGTGGAAAATTGTTACATCACCCATTTTGTGAGCTGTGGGGATTTATTAGGCCTCAGCATAATTCCTCCTCTCCCGTTCCTCCAAAATATGCCCACTCATGTTTAAGTGCTAGTTAAAAAGACATTGTAGCCTTTTAAGATGAGTTTCTTTATCTGTAAAGTTAGGATGATTTTATCAGTCCTACCTCATCCTGAGAATTATAAGGACTTTAAAATAAGACAAATCCTATTTAAATAAAACATCAGTTTGTAAAGATTTCTATGTCTCAGTTCATGACCACATATTACAGGTAGTATTTTATAACATAAAAATTCTAGTTTCAATAAAGCACTCCCTCAATTTTAGTTTACCATTTGACATATGAATTGGGATGGGATAGGTATCTGGAAATACTTAGATAATGCCAGTTTTAATTTTATTCAGCCATTAAAAACACTTCCCCTGTGGCCTTATTTTTTTTTTTTAACCATAGTTACTAACAAGTAGAATTATTTTTTTTTCTCTTCTGATGCATTTGCTAATGTATAATAAAATGACCAAAAATTTGAAGGCAGAGAGCTACTTATGATGACAGACAGCTACCCCAGGCATTCTTAAGTAATTGCACTTCTAAGGAAGATTTCTTACATGTGCAATGGCCCTGGTGAAACTCCATTGGCCTTTCATGTGATGGCCATCAGGCCTCAGTATTCAAATTAGTTCTCTGGAGAGATCATATGACTGAGTTAATAAAAATTTTCACAAATGTTAAATTTTCTCTTCAGCGTTGCTTTACAAATTAGAATAAAGATTTGTTGCTGGTAAACTTGGACTTTGCTTTACTTTTGCTAAATTTGATTTTATTATTCATTCATTTTAATCTTCAGTGGAGGCCCACTAATTGATTCTAGAGAAAGGGAGAGAGAGACGAAGAGAGAAGCATCATTGTGAGAGAGAAACATCAACTGGCTGCCTCTGTTATATACCCAGAAGGGGACTGAACCTGAAACCTAGGTATGTGCCCTGACTGGGAATTGAACCTAAAACCTTTCAGTGCATGGCTTGACGCTCCAACCAATTGAACCACATTGGGCAGGGCTTGCTAAGTTTTATTTTGAATACAAGACTCCCATTTCTATCCCCACTCCACCCCTGCCTCCATCACCCCAATGTATCAGAACCACTTCACTGTTCTTGAATGCACAGCCCACTCAAATTTGAATTTTGTTATGGAATCTCAAAATAAGATATCCATGTTTATGTATAAGTGCTCCACACCGCCTTCCAGAATTTTATTTATCTATGTGGCATTGTAGTACCTATCATCATAAAGTGTCTTTCTCTCAGTTTAAAGATGGGCATTTCAGCTAACATCTTTTCAGTGGGCTTTTTGGGCTCTGGTTAAGAAATCAACAGCTCAAAACTAAATCAGGGAACAGAATGCTATCTCCACTGGATGGATTATGTTCCATTTCAGAATGTAATCCCAGGCACTGATAGTGTGCCATTAACTTCCATATATTCTCTTAATGCGCGTGTGGAGGAGAGACTGCCTCTGGGCTGCAGTGAGGAAAATCTGGGAAGGTTTCGTGATGCCACATAATGATATTAGAAGGCCAGACCGTAGCACATCTTTAAGGGGGTGGTCATATGTAAAATATCCATTGGTGCAGGTTTAGTACTTCTCTTCATCTAAGTATTACCCACAGGAACCAGGATTCCAGCTCCTCAGAGACCTTCTCTGTTCTCTAGGCCTGGCTGGTGGTGTGGCAACTCTATCACATGTGGTCCTGAGCACTTGAATGTGGCTCATCCCAACTGAGATAGGCCATACGTGCAAAATACACACCACAGCCCAAAGTTTAGTACAAAAACAATCTAAAATTTCTCAGCTTTTATATCAATTACCTGTTTAAATGGTATTTTGGCTCTATTTGGTGAAATAAAATATAGCATTAAAATTAATTTCCCCTGTTTCTTTTTATTTGGTTTAATGTGCCTACTAAAAAATGTAAAGTAATATATGTGGCTCATTTTTAATGGACCCAGATGCTACATGACCTGAGGAAGGAGCCCATGTTATTCAGAATTCTCTTCCCACTCTGTCTTTTGGCCCCTAACTTCTACAGTGGGGCCCTGGAGGGCAGGCATGTTCTGTGGAGGTGCCCCAAGTACCTGGCCCTGAGGGGCTGGTCAGAACCCATGCCTGTGTGATGCTCAGCCTCCCAGATGCTCAGCCTCCCCACCCCTCCTCAGCCCCCAGTGCACCCTTTGCAGAGTCACCACGCGGGACAGCCCACCTCATTCTCATTGGAAAAGACCTCTTTGCTCACAGGCGGTCCCTGTCAGTCAGTTCATGGTGAGGCTGGTGCAGAGCAAAAGTGGTGCTCAGCTGTTAACATCCTCTCATCCCACTGGGTGGTGTTCTGGGTAAGAAATCAAAAGGCACTGGCTCTTGGGACTCCACTGGCTTTAGTCTGATGGGCACTTAGTGCAGTGAATCACTTTTGAAGAAGAGAAAGCTCCTCTTCCCAAATGCACAGACTGCCCTATTGGTTGATAGTGTCCGAGTCAGAGTGCTCTAAATGCTGCCTCAGTTGTCACAGTTGTAGCTTCTCGCAGTAAATATATTGTAGTTAAGTTGAGCAGATGCAAGGAAGATGTGTTACTGGAGATACTGGAATCTGTGTGGTCTCATAATTCAGTTGCCTTGAGAAGTGATTGTTTGTAATACTTTTTATAACTATCAAATTGTACCATCCTTCCAGAGTTCTTATGTATTCTCTCCTAAAAAATTAGAAAACCTTTGAGCTGCTGTGGCAGGAGTTTCTGACCATAGGAGGAAGATGTATGGGCTTCAAGTTTGCCTGCATCTAGAGATCTGTGGCTCCCAAGTGGTCCCTAGCTTTAATCTGATGGGCACTTAGTGCAGTGAATCATGTTTGAAGTCAGCAACACCAGCTGCAGTGCTGAGGGCAGGTTAGGGCTGCTGTTTGCTGTTTTTTTGTTTTTGTTTTGTTTTTTAAAATACATTTTATTGATTTTTTTACAGGGAGGAAGGGAAAGGATAGAGAGTTAGAAACATCAATGAGAGAGAAACATCGATCAGCTGCCTCTTCCACACACACTATTGGGGATGTGCCCGCAACCAAGGTACATGCCCTTGACGGGAATCAAACCCAGGACCCTTCAGTATGTAGGCTGACACTATCCATTGAGCCAAACTGGTCAGGGCTGTTCGCTGTTTTTTTGTGGGGTGTCCCGTCTGAAAAATCTAGGACATCTGACCCCGTTTGGGATTTTCCAGTGTGGGCCACAGAATGGATCCATGGGCAGCCCAGACTCATACCTAGGTGTGGAAAGGCCCAGAAGATTTATGCTAACCGGCCGGTGTCCAGCCCTGGGCTGGCTGGTGGCAGTCAGAGGCAGGAGGCCAAACAGTCCAGATTTCAGAGTCCTCAAGCTTTCCAGTGACAGCATTCAGTCATAGAGATGCACACAGCAAAGCAAACTTTGATTAGAATTGTAATTTACCAAAACATGTAAACAATCCTTCGTATAAGACAAGCACACCACTGCTGGTTAACAGGCATCACATTTAAGGTTAATTATATTTCATTATGAACAGCAGGAAGAGATCATCAAAATATTAAGCAACTCACATTTTTCCATCGGTCATCATACATGTCCCTTTAACACAGCTTTTTGATGACAGTTTTTCACCCAGTGAAAACAAGATGGTTGAAATGGATTTTGCTCCCTAAACATATTTATCTATGGTCCGAGGATTAAAAAGGAAACAGACTAGTTGAATATTACACTAATTTTTCCTTTCTATCTTTTTTTTACAGATTCGTATGACCCTAGCAGAGTGGAGCGGGTGTGATGAGATGCCAGTGAAGTGCACCCACCATGTTGCAAATTGAGTGTTCTGTGATTTTGTCTACCAGCCAGCTTGCCCTGTATCAGCTGGAAACTGCTGGCTGTTAGTGCTCTGTGGTGTCACTACCATGGCCACCAGGAGACTCGTCATGCCTTCGGAATCACTTTGTGGAAGTAATGGAGTAGTCCATTGAAACTATCTGTTTTGATAAATGAAGAGTTAATACCTGTATTTAGAAGAGTCACATGGACTCTCCTACATGATGGATTTAGCCAAACTGTAACATGTTTGGTGTTAATCTGCTTCTGTGACAATTTGAACATGGACAATAGAGTGAATGATTTTTGAAATGACTGAGAATGCCATAATTCCCTTTCACATCTCCAGGGCGTATGGCCTATGCTCATGTAAAGGAATTTGGGGCAGCGTTTCTGCACTTTGAGTTTAGGGGAAATGTGAATGACTATATCTGATCCGTTTCTAATCAATTTGGCCTTCTGCTGCTGGAAGTAACTTCACTTATAAGTAACTTGCCATCAGAGACTAAAAGCAATATCTTTTTAAATTCCTAAAAGATTAAAACTTACTGTAATGTACTAAGAATATTGTTTATCTAGTAATGAAGTGCTTTGCTCGTTTGCAAACATGCCATGTCTGCTTTGCACTCTGTATTATCTATTTTTATTTTCTGTATGGATGTTTAGAAATTCTTTATATGAAAAATAATTGCTGGTATAAAATAGACCATTTTAACAAAGTAACTATATTTCTTTTTACAAAAATGCTATTTTTCTATGATGTAAACAGTTGTTAGGTGGCAGATTTTTAAGGAAGTTTTATTTTATTTAAAAATCTATATCCCTTTGTGTGAGAGGGGCCCACAGAGGGCTCACATCTGCTCTAAAGCACATATCCCTCACCCACTCACAACTCGGCTATTTTTATTTTATCTTAGAAAGAGATCTCAATATAGACGTTTTACAGGATTAACTGAACTTTTCACAATTTTTTTTAACAAATATAACTATAAGGTTATATGTGAAAATAATCCTCTCAAAACCAGCCAACATCCACAATTTTTGCTGCCATATCCACTAGAATTACCAAAAAGTGTAGTTTTCATTTATGTATATGTATGGGGGTCTGCCCTGAGACCATGCTTTCCTCCCCCCACCCTTTAAAAATATGTATTTTTATCTATAATGATCCTTACTTGATCTCTGTATATTTTAAAAATGTGATAGAGACATCTATATGCCATTACAAAAGTATTATGAGGCCTATGTATTCTACTGTGTTTACTATTGCATTATCCTGCACAAAGTTAATGCATTTTTTATGCATTTGTCCCTTCTTTCTGAGTAAGGTATTCTTGTTAACATTTTCTCCCTTTTATCTAATATAATACATTAGAGAGAGAAGAAGGGAGAGAGAGAGAGAGAAACATCAATGAGAGAGAAACATCATCAATCAGCTGCCTCCTGCACCCTCCTACTGGGGATCGAGGCCACAACCCCGGGCATGTGCCTGACTAGAATGGAACTGGTGACCCAGCAATCTCTTGGTTCTTGGGTTGATGCTCAACTGTTAAGCCACACCAGACAGAGGCATGGAACTTTTCTTCTTTCTTTCTTTCTCTCTCTCCCTTTTTCTTCCCTCCCCTCCCCTCCCCTCCCCTCCCCTCCCCTCCCCTCCCCTCCACACCCCTCCCCTCTCTTCCCCTCCCCTCCCCTCCCCTCCCCTCTCCTCCCCTCCCCTCCCCTCCCCTCCCCTCCTCTCCTCTCCTCTCCTCTCCTCTTCTCTCCTCTCCTCTCCTCTCCTCTCTCCTCTCTTTTCCTCTTTCTCATCTCCTCTTCTTTTCTTTCTTTCTTTTTTGAGAAACCACCTGATCTATTTTTAGACATTTCAGATTTTTAAAATGTGAATTGTTGGGTGGTCTGCAATTTGGCCCTAAAACAATTCTGACTGGGCTTTCCTGGCCTGTTTTTATCTGTAACATATGATTTTATTTCATAAGAACTTCAGGTATTTGAACTGTAATAAACAATACAGGATCTAAATAATTCTGAAAAATTGTTTTGAATACACTTATCTGTAGTCTTAGTTCCTAACTATTACTCTTGCTTGATTTTTGGCTCTTGTGAAAAGTTGTAGCAGACTCTTGTTTTCACAACACAAAGAGAAGGGCCAAGTGTCTGTTAGGCATAGTTTAGATTGTTTTTCCCAGGAAACATTTAGTGAGTAAGAGGCCTATTACTCTGTCATGGCCACTGAATCACTTAAGTAATCTGGTAGAACTAAATGAAGGTGGTCACATGTTTCCCTCTTTAAATGCAAGTGAAATGAACTGTGTTCTGATTTCCTTCTAAATTTTGTTGATCCCATATAAAGACTTCTTTTAATGAAAATAATTGAATTTTAGTTTATTCCTCACAAGAAAGAAAAGAATCCTAAAGAGAAAAAAATTAATGTACCTCATGTGTGGTACTTTTACTTTGTTTTATTCTAAATTATTATAGTTTTCTGAAACCATTCTGAAATTAGTTGAAATTACCAATATTTATACTTCTAACTTTCATTTCTGGATTCCAGCTTGAATATAGTAACTTTGAAAATTTGACTTTTAAACTTGCATATTCTAAGGCAAATAATACAGACTAATCAGAAATAGCTTTCCCAGAGATTTTGAATTTAACAATAGCTATTTTTTTTATTAGTTCTATTGCTTATACATACATATCTTTTTGTTATTATTTGTGGCTGATTTTTTTTTTCTATTTTGTGTTTGTCATTGTTTTTCTCAGATGTTTGACTAACTTTTGATGTTTAATAATTTGGGCTTATAAAATTAAAAGTTTTAACTTCGACTATTTGATCTAAAATTTATATGAGAAATTATGTATGAAATGTATTTGTATTTCTTAATTGTAAAAGTAAGGGGAAATATTGGTATAGCTTTAATTACCTCTTTGAAGGAAATTTCTGAATGATTGAAAACCAAATATCTTTATTATCATTTTCAATCTTTCGATTCTGCAAACCACAGAAAACTTCTTAGCATTGAAGCCCCTAATTACAGCTTCAAACTCCGTTGCCATGTTGTTTCAAACTATTTGGGTTTCTTTTTTTAAAAGTCACATAAAAATGTGTCTAATCTGAGATTCTGGTGTCCATACTAGAAGTGTAGGTTGAGGTTTTGATTCATGTGGAAAATCTAATTAGAACTTTTGCTACTCATCTATTGGTGAAGGGTTGGTGTTAATGCAAGTTCAAGTGCATTAACTCCAATGATTCTTAAAGTAGATCCTGACCATTTTTTTGTGACAATAAAAGGACTTACTGTAATACAAGTTGGTTTAAGAGCTTCTAAGGGAAAATGATAAGCCCCATCCACCACTGACACAACTACTTCCCAGCTCTGAGCAGAAGAGACTGATGGAAGATAAGATTAACCCACATTTTATCAGGTCTCCGAGGATTATGTTTATGTGTTTGGGCTATTCTGTTTTGTTTAAAATGGTTAAATAATACTCAGTTAAGTATCAGGTTAGCATCTCTTGGAAAGTGGCCAGTGCAGCAGAATTCTCTCTAAATATCTGAGCTTAGAGAAACACTTCCAGTTTTCTAAGTTCTTGTAGGCAGTTACTTTCGTGTTTGAGCCATTGTTCTGCTAGATCATCTGCAGGGAGCATGAAGTGTGAGGGATGGAGTGAGTGGTGGGAGTGTCTTTCTTGAACTGAAGCTGTTAGAGTAGGCTTAGCGGGGAGATGCATTTTGTGTTATGCTTTTCATTGCAGATTCTGTACATCTGTTTTTGGGAGGAGAGCTGCTACTCAGGACAGGATTTAAGAGACACATTCCAAGTGACCTTTAAGAATCTGCATGGTGGGAGGTCCTTTTCCTGAACTCTGGGTTGATCCATTGTGGACTCAACTATGGAAGATGATAAAATAACATGAAAGAAAGAATGGTCCCCAGCATGCACGTTAAGGAGTGGTTAAGACTGCAACTCAGATTAAAGTCCTTTGGAAAGATCTCTATGGTCTAGCAAATTGCCCGTGGAAACAGTCCTTAAGTTCACCAGCAGTGCTGCGAGATGTGCAGTGCAGTGAGGTGGGCAGAGTGCCTGTGTGCGCGCATTCCTGGCGTTGACTTTTGAGAGCCCCTGTCACAGTTGTGTACGGGGGACAAGAAGGTCCTTGTGCTGTGGCCTCTGACTGAAACTTGAACCCAAAGGCAAGTCTGGCTATTTGTCCCAATGTCTTCATTTGGGGTGAGGAGGAGCCCTTCCCCACTAGTAGTCCCTTTCCCCTGTGGAAGCCACAGGGGTAGCAGAAATCTTCAAGGAGCTCTTGTATTTCTCTGCATAATGTAAAGACTTGCTATTTCAGGATGACTTACCTGCTCAATGACACGTTTCAAATAAAAATTTTGCATGAAAATACCTATGTTTATTGTCTTTGGCTGTGGGTGCCAGAGATGACTTGTAAGCCTAAAAGGCTGGACCCCAGAGGGCAGCAAGCTGCACTGAACACAGCTCAGATGGTGTAAGTAACAAAGGGACAGGTGGCCCAAGATGTCCCAGCACCTTTATTCTCCACCAAATACTAGTATTTTCTGGGTGCTGAAGCTACTCTTCACGTTTTTCACAAAGGCTTGCTGACGTGGGGACTTGGTTTGCATTTTGAGTCCATCACTAACCATGTGGACTTGTACCTTTTTCTACCCCAAATACTGTTTTCCCATCTAACCTCTCTTACTCCTTGACTCCTTTTCAAATATATAGAAAATCCCCTGGCACACTGTGGTATTCCATGCATGGAAAGTGAATGTAGACCTGTACTTTATGGGGAACAGAGTAAATAAATGTGTGTCTGGCAGCTTATAGGTTTTAAATCCAGGCCGGCCTTGCTCTTCATTCAGAGATCCATCTCATTTCTAGTGCTGGGGTTCTAGAAGCAGAAGCACATGCTTTAAATTTGTTTCTAGTAGCTCAATAAACATAAAAGCTGTTGTTTCTGAGTTTGGTCCTTCTTTGCCATT